ACCCCTCCCCCGCCCCAGGGGTGGGCTGGCCCCCTGCCACTGCCACTGCCGGGTGCCACACACAGACAGGCAGGAAGGTCCCCACACAGCCGGGACCCCCGATGTGGCCAGCTCCGAACGTGGGGACTCCCCCAGCCCACAGCATCCTCCAGCCAGTTCTCTGCAGAAGACAGCACCCGGGGTCACGTGCTGCTCTGTGCCACCGTTTGGTGACCTTGTGGCGGGAGACCAGGATGTCCCCATCCCCAAGCACCTCGCAGGGTGGTGGGTGACCTCGGGCTCGCGGCGTGCAGCCCAAAGCCCTTCTCCAGTGCAAGGATGGGTAATGCCACCCCACAGTGTGGCCAGCACCACGCAGGGGTCTGAGGACGCCGCTGATCCCGGGTGCAGCGTGTGACCCAGAGGCAAAGGGAACCGGGCAGCCTCCCTGCCTGGCATCCCATCCTCCCTGTCCCCGCCAGCAGCCCGGTACTCACTGGTGTTTGGTGTAAAGGAGGGATGGCGCGTGGCTCCCTGCGTGACGGCCGGCGGCGGCGGAGGCATGCTGGGCGGCGTGGACCTGGACTGCGTCTTCACGTCGGCCGGCGAGTCGGGCATGGTGGCAGCCCGCGTCTCCGCGTTATCTGCAGGGAAAGGGCAAGGGGAGGTGAGCGGGGTGTGCCGGGCAGCGCCGCGCTTCCCCTCCTAATGGGCATCAGATCAGGGGCAGAGGGGACCCCTGGGGACCTCGGGCTGGCCTGCGCATCCCTGATCCCTGGCGGGCTCGGGGCAGGACGGCAGCAACTCTCGCCCCCGGCAGAGCTGAGGCAGTGGGGACGGTGCCTGGTGTCCTGTATGCCTGCAGGACGGTGGGGATGGTGACCTCCCGCGCATCTGCGCAATGGTGGGGATGGAGCCCACGCGGAGTGGTGGGGACAGGGCAAGGCACCGCTCTGCGCCTGCAACGCCAGCTCTGCCCCACGCACGGGGCATAGCCCAGCCCGGCACATCGCCAGCGTGTATTTCCCCGCCAAGCCATCGCTGTCACATCCTGTCACCCTCCTGCCAGCGGTTACTTGTCTATGTCTCGGGAATCCCCGGCTGCCCGCTAACCCCTTGCCATCCCCGGCAGCTACGCGCAGGGCTGCCATAATCCCAGGCAGGGCTTACGCACAGGCAGTAAATCGTGGCTTCGTTATGGTTGGTGCTC